GAGATGCACTTTTCAGGAAGATGAATTCAAATAAGGACAGTGGAAATAAAGATGTAATAACACCCATTCTGTTAGTATTTGCTTAAAAAAAAAAAATCCGCAAATGCTTATTAGTGCGAAAACTTTGCGTTTATTTCTTTAAACAATTAGCATGACATGGCAGCAGTTTGAGAGGTACTACCCAAGGCGCGTAGGAAACGTGACAGGGCTGCTCTTGTGGAGACATTACAGAGGGAGTCCTACACAAAGCGCCCAACACCCCCACCACAACAGACCTCCTTCCAAACCACAAGTCTCCAGCATTGTGTCGCAACCTGCAGAACTTTGAACCAAGGGCCACGTTGGTGTCTTATTTTGGAACTGGGCACACTCTACAGACAACAGAAAGTGCCAAAGCTCTGAAACAGGTTAACAGTGCTAACCTGCCTAATTCATAGCATGTCCTTGGAGGTCCACCAAGGCTTGCTCATAAACTGTCAAAAAAGGCCAAGGACAGTCTGGGCATTCTCCTAAGTAATTCTGTGCTCTTGATGCAAAAGAAACCCTTAGCAACCAAAAAAATGCCAGTGTCCTAACTGGATCCAAGTGTGTGAAATTTAATTTCCCTGAGGGCTGAGAGTGAAGATTGGGTAAGAAAACTAGGGCACGAATGGATTGGTTCATACGAAAACCTGAAACAGCCCCAGGCAGAAATTTGGAAGTATTGTGAAATACCGTATAAGAAGAATCCATCTTCATATGCAGGGAGTAACTCAAGATGGGAGATGTAGCAGCTCAAACAGATACCCCAAAAGGCTCTACAAAGAAATATATACAAGGTTTTTAATGAAATCTTCCCATTCTACAGTGGGAATACAGGATGAGGCAATCCAATGCCAGGGTGTTATGCAAATATTTGCACCAGATGACTTGGACAGAACAAATTAAAAGTCCAGGTGCTTTGAACCTATAAGAGACACAACACTGCTGATATTGCTGATATCAGACAACTGATACTTACACGATCAAAGTTAAACATCTTCCCATTTAGTTCTGATAGTCAGTTGAAGCTCTCTTAGCCTGGTGCACAATAACTTTTGGTAGATACTGTACAGACAGCATTAAGGCTGAGAGATGTAGGAATGCTGACTCCAAGCAAAGCGTTCAATCCTACTGCAAGATAGCGCACTGGAAGAAGGACAGTAGGCTGCTCAGGTTCAAAAAGCAGAACCAACAGGCCTGTACTTCCTCTACTTATAATCATAAATCCTAAAACCTCAACCCATTTTCCACAGACTCTTTGGTGACCATAGGAAACAACGGGACAGCATGCATGTGCCTCAGCTCTCAGGGAAGAAAGGCTCCTTTAGAAGACCTTCTCGTCTTGAATTCATCTTCCCTGGAAGAAAAAATCTGAAGCTTTTTCTGGGTGGTGAAAAGCAGACTTTTTTTTTTTAAAAAAAAATCTTCATTTGCAAAACCAAAATAATAAAAAGATTTAGTGCACCCAAATCTTTAATAGATAACTTTGTGCTGCCAGGTATCATCTTGCAGATCTGGTAACTTAAATTAAACCAAAGGTTGTTAAGAAGAGGAGGGCATGATCAAGTTCAAACCAGAACAAATTCCAAAACCACAAAACTCCTTGCAGAATAGAAACAATTTGTTTGGTCGGTTCACATGGGCATAGGAATAACTATCGGTTGACAACTGAGAAACAGGAGGAACAGTCTGTGCATGGGTGAATGCATTGAGGTCTATGGTCTTGGTGGAGAGAGCTGCACAAAAGGACACCTGCCCCCTCCTCAGGCATTTAAAGAAAATTACCATTTCTTTCAGCAGACTGACCTTACATTAGGTCTTCTTGGTAGATACACTGATTCAAATTGCCTTTTCTTGAAGCCTAAATCTGGCAAATTGTATTAGTTAGCTGCAAGAGATCATATCTGAGGCACGGTCTCACTGGTGGCTTGGGAGAACTGTTGATGAGATAAAATAATCACATGGGATCTTCCTTATGAAAAGAGCAGGTTCCCCCTGGTCTGGAATATAACTGGGCTCCTTTGAATTCTATACTGCTGGAGTTTTTTAAAGGAATTTTGGGTTGTTGTTTTTAGCATTATTTCAGCTTCGGAATTTAAAATTCTAGGACTACTCGATTCAAACCATCTATTTGATAAGCTGCTTGTCTGTTGGACTGCTTCACTGTGTCAGCCTTTGGCCAAAACATACATAGGCTCCGATTCCCTGGGCTCTTCAATCACAACAGCATTTGAGAGAAGTCCTCAGTGGTCTTCCCATAGCAAAGGGCAGGGACTTGGCATCAGTAGCAAGATGCTTTTATAGTCTCACCTGGGTTTTTTGGAGGAAGGAATGGATACTTGTCAGTAGGCATTTTACATATCAAGTCACAAACAGTTTGGGAGATCTAACAAAAGAATTGTGGAAAATGATCCCTGCAAGCTACAAGCCTTTACCCGATATCATTTAAGGAACCTTTTTTTAAAGTACTCTTTCCAATTCCTACTCTGCTGTCCAAGAAGGAGAAAATAGAGAGGCACGAGATGAGATGCTACTGAACCCCAAATGAGAAAGAAGAGTCTCCTGCACACCAGCGACTCCAAAGCTGCTGCTTTGGCAGAAAGATTCATTTTAGGCTTCTGGCCCTTAGACTACATGTAATAGGAGTCAGAAGCCTAATGACTTTCATGTCTCAACCTGTTAGATGCTAGAGCCTGCAACCTATGCCTTGACTCATCCCTGGAGCAGTGCTCTTTCAGGCAAGATAATCAAGACCTTATTTTTCACAGACAATACTTCATGTGACAGTAAGCCTCAGGAGGCTTCAACTCACCCACAGATATCTATGAGACCCTGCCTTAGTTTTGACCTCATTCACACACATGATATTGGTGGAAAAAGAAAACATGCAAGCAGTGTTGACCAAAACCTTGGATTAGCTAACACTAACAAAGTTAGACTGTAGATACAGACTAACCGGATCAGGCTCCAAGGAACAATTTGTATTAAGGTCCAAATATTTCTGGATAATTTGTACCCAGCACTCACCATATACATATATACACACACACAACCCCCCCCACTGGAAAAAAAGTTACGGTAAAATCTCACAAACAAAAACCAAACTACTATATCATGATTGCCAGCTTATTGCTTCATGCCATTGTCCTGACATCCAAACGGGTTTAGTAATTGCCCTTTTGAAGCTGCTAATGTTAAAAAAAAATATCTCAAGTTCTGGAAGTGGCTGGGAATTCCAGGTTCTAATAGCTACGCTGCAAATATTCACTCATCAAGGGGTTCAAAAGACACTTACTGTCAGAAGTGAAACACAAATGCATGTCAGAACGACTTGAAACAGAATGACTACAACTCACAATTTGGGTTTTCTTTAAATATGTTTGAAGAGCTTTAAACTGTTTAATTTATTAAACAGACTTTGATACTACAGGCATAGCTTCCACTTTCAGTTGAGCCATTGTAGCACTTGAACGCAGAATACATTAAGCTTAAATTCCACTGCCACCATACACACTCATGAAAGCCATTTTAGGGTTTCTTCACTTAAAAAAAGTAATATGCTGTCCTGGTGAATTTGACAGGGAAACAGAAGCTGCACGTATTAATAGCAAAAGCCTCTCATACAGCACGCACAAGTTTCAGACGCCATCACTGCTCCAACTACTGAAAAGAACGCTAAGTAATCACAACTCCTAGAAGCTGAACACAAGCAGGTCCTAAAAGAAAGTTTCCTCAAAACGACAGATTTGGCTTTTGAAGAACAGTTCAAGTTTTTCCAGAGATTGCTTCAATCTCCCCTGGCAGGTCTGTGCTTTAGCATGGCTTCTACTACTTCCCTCTGCCTGGCTTTCCTTGAAGAGGTTGTCATAAGAAAGTGCACGTGCCCCGCTGTTTCTCTTTCATACACCTTTATTTACTGCTCTCCACCTCTGGCACTGTCAGAAGCGCTACTCCAGTTCCACCTAAAACCACCTAGGCAAGGCTGCAGAGGCAGCAGTACCAGTAAAACCCATGCTTACAACAAAATCTCATGCCACGAAGTGTGCCTTGTACCATTTGGAAAGGCAAGCCAGAGTTGCAGGATCGAGAAACTCAGAAAACTCCCCCCTCAAATGCTGGAAAGACCACGAAGGTAACACCACCTTCCCTCTAGAGCAGGACCGGGCAGTGAAGGGCAAGGTATACATAATACTGTGGACACGATCAACACCTGTGGACCGATAACCGACTCTTAGAATTACAGTATCACTACAGCGTTTACCTGCCATCACCACCACGTAACATCCACACACACTGTGTTCAGTGCACTGTTCTTTTCTTGGATCTGCACTCTTATTTCATCTGCTCTACATACACCACTTGCTCATGCATGCAGACGTTTTCTAACCGCTTAATACCAGTAAGCTACCAGAGCCACAAATGTTTCATTTAGAAGGTACGTGAGAGTTAAGAGTCTAATTATTTGAAAAGTCCTAAGATTCTATAAAAAGCATTCAGTCGATGCTGTCCTATATTTTGTTACATGCAGCCTTGCCATTACCTCGAGTGACACATCCGAGATTACACGTTGACACTACAGGCGAGCGGTTACTGCTCCAAAAGAAACAAAACAAATACCCCGACGCCCCCACCTTTGAACTTAAATGCAGTATCGCTACGGTTTTTGAATGTAATAAACCACAGAACGGGTGCCCTGGCATAAACCCAGAATTCTAGGAGGTAGAAAGAAACTGCTCTTTACCATCAACTTCATTTTAGTGCATACACATAGGGATTTGCAGCAGTGCCGTTTGTCTGAAGCACAGTGGAGCAGGGAAAGAAAAGTCAGTCTCCAACCTCCCACGAACAAAGAAACCTAATTTAATTTTGAAACAAAAGCAGCTAAATTTATCATTCTAAGACAGCCCCAGGACATCCAAGCACGAAATGGAAGAAAAGGAGTTGCCAAAAGACATGCAGAACAAGCTTTTTAAAGTTACCTGGAATCGGGGTATTTTGTAAGCGTGGCCAAGCTGCTGGTATACATGTGCCCACCCACATCAATGTGAACTGGTGCGTTGGATTTTGTGAGCTGTGCTGGAGTGGGGATGCCTTGATTGTTCAATGGAGATGCAGGGGATCTAGTGATCAGAGGTCTTGACATATTGGGCCGACTGTCCTGTGAAGAGATAGACCCGGGTTAATGATCTCCTTAAAAACCTCACAGAAACCCACAGTCTCGAGTTAATAGCACTCTCTCATCGTCTCAGCTTATGATTTTTATCTTATTAAAGCACAGACAAATATTTGGCAGTTTTAAAAAAATCAATCCAGCTCTAAGAGTCTTAACTGGCTACGTTTCAAGTAAGTGAAGTGGGGCGAAACGCAGTGATAAAACCCACAAAGTAGAAGTCACGTTCAATAAAACAAGTTCTTCCTGAACACTGCTCGTGACAGACAACCCGTACAAAAGAAAAAAAAAAAGCTCATTCTCGTATACAAGAGTTGATAAAGGCTCTGAAAGAAAGAACTGCAGACAGAAAGACCAAGAACAATTACTATTCTCCTTAATTAAGATGATTCCGGGTAGCCTTTCTGTGCCTTCCCAAGCCCTCCATTGCTGCCGTACAGTCAGAACAGAAATACAAACCCTCAACTCCTCCATCCTGCACACTCTTCTCTCGAACTCCCAATTCACATAGCACGGAAACAGAAGCAGAAACACCTGGACTAGTCAAGTGCTCATGGACTGCAGACCACTGGACATCGACAGCCTTTGAGAAAGACATCTTCCATTTAAAAGTTATACGTATGGCGACAGATGCCCCCGCGTGCCCCGCATAGGCTGCAGGTCTGAGCGACTTTCCCCAGGCAGGCGGGCCCAAAAACAGAGACGTCCGGGTCGAGCGGAGGGTGGGGCAGGGCAGGGCGATTTGCCGGAGCCAGTAAGGCAGGCTGCCTTCAAAGTTGGGGATTAAAACAGAAACGCATTCGAGAGCGGCTTTGAGACAACCCTGCTTGCGACTTGAAGGAGAGCTCCGCTCCAGTGCGGGGTGGAATCTTATAGGGGTGCCTTGAGAACTAAAAAGCACTTGCAAATTACAAAGTTTTACATTTAAAAGGTAAGCAAAGCAGCCAGGAGTTAGATACACTTCATCACAAAACTCCCTTTGTTCTTTCGACACGTCTTTCAGCCGTGAAAGGCAATGGATTCCTTGTAAACATCTCCACAGAGCCGGGCAGCAAACCTCGCAGGAGCGGAGCACGGCCAGGAGAGCGCGTTACGGCGTATTCGGACTAGCAAAGCCCTTAGCTGCCGAAAACATCGTTTCTCCATTTTTCATGGCTGTTAAAAGATTCAAACCATAAAAGGCAACATGAGCCAGGTAAATGTCTAACTGAAGTGATTTACAGGCCAGTGTTGCACAATAAATCCAAGTAACATGTAACAAAAGGCATCTATAAACCACAAGGTACTTAACTAATTTTCTTTCATACGCAAAAGCAAGCTTAGGTCAAATACTGATAAAAACGAAGAGGATGAAGAAAAACATCTAGTGTAGACGTTGAGGGGGAGGGTTGGGTTCTCTTCTGTTTCTTTATAAGCAGAATATAAATCTGCAGAAATACCACGCTTAATCACTACAATTGCTTGAGGAGGTGCCTGCAGCGCAATGAAGACAAGTCCAGACAAAGCAAGGTACACACGCTATGCAAAACTAACGTCTGCTCTAAGTGCCATGTGGTACAACCACCACCCAAGATGCTACTGATCTGCAGTATGATGTTCAGTAAAATAATGAAGCAAAAAATTAAAAAAACAACAACTGGAAAGGTGAAAGTAAGAAGGCAAGGAGTAACACGGAACGGGGAGGGGGGAAGCACGCATTGGATGATTAGCAGGAGGAAAGCAGCAGGTGGGAGGAGGAAGGAAACATTTATTTCAGTGCTCAAAATCAGACAAAGTCTAAAAAAAAAAAAAAAATCCAAACCAAAACCCAAATTCTGTAACTTCTATGAGACAGACACTACCACCTCCCATAGCAGGATCCTCTCTGGCAGAAAAAACACAGCCCTGTTGCAATTTAGCACACTGCAGCACCACTGAGTCTGTAATAGTTTTTCAATTGGACACATTCTCCTGTATACCCTGCCTGGGGCTGCTCAGGAGAAAATGAACAGATTTGCAGGGTTAATATTGTAGTTAGGCTGGGACCTCATTCAGCATAGCTGTGATAGCGCCGGCTGCATGAAACGGTAGAAGAATGTATAGTATAAACATCGCTGCCTGGATGGGAGACTGGTGGAAGGACTGTGGCATCTAACAAGGGCAGGGGAAAAAAAAAAAAAAAGGAACCAGTTTCCGAAACTGAAATGTAACCAAGCTGCCATTTACACAGTTTACCTACTAAAACTCCCAAGAAATAATAAAGCTTTATAATAAAACCATTTGCTGTCTTATTTCATCCTTTTCAACATTCCCCCTTCGAGTTACCTGCATTTATTGTGCCTCAAGAAACAACGCCCATCTGCTCAATGTTTAGACATTCAATACAATAATGCTAGCCTTGCTCCAGCCTTAGCTCACCAAGCACATTTCCCTGGATAAAACTAGTTCACTACTGGTTTGGAGACCACTTTGAAATTAGGCAATGGTATTTCTACTGCACTTGCCCCGGAGAAATTAAAGCACAAATGGGATTCAGAGAACCGGGTACTTAAAAAAAAAAAAGTTTCTTTTATGTGGCACAACCCACTAGCACAGCCACAGCACAGAGGATCTCCATCCAACAGGTCAAGATCACTGACATTTGTTTAACAGATGGGGGTTAAATCACTGCTTTAGTTAAATCACTGCATTGGTTCAGCTGTGGAAAGGAAAATACAGGGGGCACGCAGTCTCTCTGAAGAAACACACTGCTTGCATTGGGTTATTGCAAACATGGAAGCAAACAAGCTTAGGTAAAAAGCAGTTAGAACAAGGCACCGCTGGTAAATAAAACTTCTACTACCCAAAGTGATTACAAATATAATTCCTTAGAAACAATGACAGGAGGAGAGAAGGGATTTGTAGAAGCTAAACTCAATGGGATCCAGCAAGCTATCTAGAACAGCTGACGACAACAAAAAAGGATCAGAAAGCTCTCCAGAAGCCTTCCATGGCATGCTTGGTGTCAGGCAGGTGAGACCTGCACCCAGGAAGGGTTTACAGCTCAGCCACGGCTGTTCCTGTGCGGGAGGTCACAGAGGCTGGCGTCTGCCCCGGGAACCGCACCAGCTTTATTCACGAGTGGCACACAAAGCTCAGGCCTGCCCAGGCTGGATGGGCAGCAGCCTTCCTGATCTGACAACAGCCTGTTTTACACTCCATACCTTTTCTTCTCGAACATTTTAATATTTACCCTACAAAAAATTGAATAAGCACAGGAAATCCCAGGTTTTACAATGCTTCCTGTGGACCAAAATACTTGAAATACCCTGTAAAACATTTATCATTATTAGTACTCAAAGTGTTTATTTTCCAACAACTTTTCAACATAATAAGTTCTGATTTCCAATCCAAATTAATTTATTACTGAAACTGCATACTCAAAAGTGCTAAAATCTGAGTGCCAAGCAGGTTAAAAGCATTTAGGTTGTACAAAACTTTTCAGTTTTGGTTCAGCATGCAAAACCACTGCTCTGTTAGAGAAGTTTGGGGCTCCTCCACTTTCTTGCTGATATTTGAAGGAGTCTTTTGACAACAAGCAGTTGGCAGGCCCAGGTCTTTTGAGTATATCTGAACCTGCGTCTCATTTTCTGCCCTAGGCAAGCCCTCCCGTAGGCTCAACAGAAGCAAAAGCAGCCCTGCCTGAACTCCTCCTCCCTGGGATTTACAAAAATCCTTAGGATTTAGAAGTCTTTCTACCAAAGGGTACTGAGGATCATGGAGGAGAGCTTTCAGATCTCTTCTCCTCCCTGCCTTTTTCTTCTATACCACCTTCTCTCCAACTCCATTCAAGAATATAGTTAAAGAATAAACCTTTACATCTGGGTTGAAAAAACACAGTAGCTGTAGAGCCAAGACATGCACCCATGCAACTGGTCTACCAAAGAAGAAAACAGGAACCACGTCAATCATCTGGTAGGAAGTGGAAGAAATAAGAGATATCTGAAGAGCGTGAGTTATTACAACGTGCTGCTAAGCGTACAAAAATCAAAGAGACAGGAGGCTTCCTCCTCCCCTCAAAATATTTGCTCACCTTAGACTGCTGTGATCAGCAGTGGTTTCAGAAGTGTTATTTACACTCTGTGGTCTTGAGTAAAGTCATTCCAGTCCCCTTCTTAAGCCAGAAACCTTGACAAAAACCATGCCACTACAAGACAACCCAAGCTCACTCACAGGAGGACCGACATACAACTACAAGACATTTACTTGACTCATCGGACCGTGGGGATCATTTTAGGTTGCAGGTCAAGGCATTGCTTGCCAGGGTTATTATAGCCAACATCTTCCCTGTGAGCCAGCCCAGCTCAAGCAAATTCTAAAATTATCAGATGCTCCCTGCCATAGCCCAAGCAATTATCACTGCTGAGAAACTGAAAGTTACATACTGCAAACTCTTGGATTTTTTTGGGGGGAGGTAAAGACCAGCTTGCCTCATCTAGTCCGGATATTAGAAACGATAATCATGCAGTAGTTGATTCTAAAGCATCAAATCTGTCTGTATTCATTATCTTTTTTTCACAACAGAAAGCCATGAAACAGATGTTTCTCCTCACAGAAGCTTGGTACCCAGGCACAGCTGGCAACAGCAGTCAGCACGCCCACATCAGCCACCTCCAGCAGAAAAGTCTCTGCTGAACGCATACATCCCACTCTATGGGGAATGAATCCAAACAGTGAACAAACTTCAGAAGATGGAGACAAATCCCTTTTTCTTCAGTACAAAGCAGAAATCACTCAAGTGTCATGGACAGCTATGCGCCTGACTCAGAAATAAACAGCAGGCTGAACCTTAGGGGTGCTTGTGGGATGTGGGAAAGCCCAGTTCAAGTCCCTCATCCAAACCAGGAACATTAGGTCTACTCTCAGGTTCGGCTCCCGCACAAGTGTACCTATTTTGAGGATGCACTTTTTCAAACCAAACATTTCATTAAAGATTAAAAAAAAAAAAATCATCATGATCATGTCTCACCACAATGCTTAAACAAGTACCCCCCACTTCTTTTTCAATTCAGCAAAAACAGTCGCCACAACAAAGAGGCTGGAGAAAGCATTTATTCAATATAAACAATATCAGTACAGTACAAACAGCACTTCTGGAAAATGCATAGCAAGCAGGCAGAGATAGAGAGCTACGTGGCCAGGAAGGCCAGGTGCTCGTCCTGCTGGAAGGGGAAAGCCCCATCCTGGGCACCTCTGTGGGCTGGTGATGTCCTTACACCGAATTCTCTGGCTATGGCCATGGTATGCCGACAGCAGGTTGTGCTGGTCCCTCGGACAGAGCCCTACAAGGTGGTCAAAGACAACCACATGCACTGTGCAGAGCATGCAAGCTGCATTTCGGTCTCTTTAAGGTGCACGTGCCACTCTGTAAGGTGCCTTCTCTTCACCTGCACCCTGCAGAGTGCAGAAGCACAAAGAAGCTGCCCAGATCTTTGGCAAAAACCTCTTTACACATG